ACCTCAGTAAAAAATCATTGTGTCATCATTTGATTCCGAGGTGATTGGTCTTCATTGTTATTCATTCTTGTGATTGATTGGCTCCTTCCTCGACACGGCGATATAACCATCTTGCTCACTCTCTCTACATTACCACAAACTAGTTGTCAAGCTCTTTAGTGTAGATAGTTGTGAGAGATTGTTAGTTTGGTTAGTGTGGCTCTTTAGTTAGCTTTTGAGAGCACACTAACTTAGTGTAGTGACATAGTTATTGTGTGGATAAAAACTACATAAACTAGAATTGTGGTAGGTGGCTTGCACTTTTAGTAGGCTAGCGCAACACTCACTTCGCCTCATAATTGTCTAACCGATTTGTTAAGTGTTATTGTAGAAATTTTTAATAGGCTATTCACCACCCCCTCTAGCCATTAGGACCTTTCACATGGCTCAGACCCTCCGTTTTATAGAAAAAACGCTTGAGGGATGACGATCACAATGACGAGCCGACCCTCGACTGGAACCTTGCTACTGCGCGGGAGCTCAAGGGAAGTTGGACTCACAAGGAGACAGAACGCGCGATCGCAGAACGACGGTGGACCGATCGGATCCTAGGGGACCGAAATCATGAAAAATCTTTCCAACCTCCCAAATCCTACGGTTACATGCCCCCAAGAAGACCTATCGCGACACAAGGGAATCGCCATCCTACTAGGACAGGCCGTGGGCTAAAAAAGAAGGCCAAGGCCCTCAGAGTCCTCCCGTCTGAAAAAGCCTCCAAACGAGTATTATACTCCTTCACAGGCTCGGGAGCTATTGTCGGGTATCAATATTAGGGATACCCAAAGCAAGGAAGTTAGCGCCCACGCTGACTTCCCCGGATGGCTTGAGACGTATTAAAAGGTCTCGCCCGGCCCCAAGATCGTGGGCTCCGTCTCACCCAACCTTGAGGTTACGGGCTCCGTCTCGCCTGACCTCGAGGCTGCAGGCTCCGTCTCGCCTGACCCCTTAGGTGCGGGCTCCGTCTCGCCCGACCCCAAGGACGCGGGTTCCATCTCGCACGACCCCAAGGACACGGGTTCTATCTCGCCCAAAGTCACAGGCTCCGTCTCGCCCAACCTCGAGGCCATGGGCTCCGTCTCGCCCGACCCAAGGACGCGGGTTTTATCTCACCCAAGGTCGCGGACTCCGTCTCGCCTGACCCCAAGGACGCGGGTTCCGTCTCGTCCGACGAGGACCCATACCGCCGCTAACCACTCCAGGTCCAAGCATATGGGCCTGAGTCAAAACTCTAACACCAGGGAAGAGGCTGGCATGCCTCGATATAACCCATGGCCATGATGGGCCATACCTGGGGATTCACACCAAGAACAGTGTTAGGTGTGCCGGTGTTGTTCTATCTAATCCTCATACGGACGCTGACAGTGCATCAGTTCACCACGACGTCCGTCGGACGACAGAGTGGAACGCCATGATCGGCAGATGACACCTGCGCATGGCGCTAATGACGAATAGGGCCACTACATGGAGCCATCCCTGTTAACATCTACAGGATCGGTGGGACCCGTATGAAGGAGAAGAAGGCCCCGGCAACCCTGGAAGCCTTCTTCTCTCTTGTTATTCTCCTTTTCCTCCTCTGTAACCCGCGCTTTTCCTTCGCCTATAAAAGGGGAAGAAGGGCGCCCTATGAAAAGGGGATCTGGACACAAGAGCACGACACGAGCACATGGCTGAGCGGCAAGCGAGCTCTCAGTCCCCGTTCACTCCTTCCACCAAAGATTTGGGATCCTCTCCCTCTCTCGCATGTTTGTAACCCCTACAGCAAACCAAGTGTCGGTAACACGAGCAGCAGCGAACTGGACGTAGGGACATTCCGCTCGAACCAGTATAAACCCTTGTGTCCTCCGAGCACACCATCCGAGCCAGACGCGCAAATACAAATTTACTCGTCGGTGGTCCGAAAACACCGACAGATTAGTTATACTGATGCTGGTTACTTATCTAATCCTCATAACGGAAAATCCCAAACAAGATTTGTATTCCTACATAGAGGTATTGCTATTTCATGGAAGTCTTCTAAGCAGACTCTAAAAGCGACCTCTACTAATCATTCTGAAATTATTGCTCTATATGAGGCATCATGAGAATGTGGATGGCTTCGCAGAATGATTAACCACGTACAACAGTCATGTGGTATTGGTTCAATTGAATCACCTACAATTATCTATGAAGATAATTCCTCTTGTGTTACATAGATGCAAACAGGTTACATAAAGAGCAATATCACTAAGCATATTGTTCCTAAACTGTTTTATCCCCATGAATTACAAGAAAGCAGAGAAATAAACATCTTGCAAATCAAGTCATGTCATAATCTCGCTGACCTATTTACTAAGTCCTTACCAAGTTCTGTGTTTCAAAAGTTGGTACATGGAATTGGTATGTGGTGACTTCGAGATTTGCCAGAATTAGGAGGAGACATCTCCTAAATGTTGACATGTACTAGCATCATATTATACTCTTTTCTTTCACAAGTTTTACTCACAAGGTTTCTTGTTAAAGTTTTTAATGAGGCAATATTAACATAAGCATGTGTCATATTTTCTATTTTTCCCATCGAAGTTTTTGTGGGAAATATCAAAGACACATATTGCCCTCACAACTCATCCATAGTTTTTCTCTAAAAAGGTTTTTCATGTGAGTTATCCTAGAGACAATACCAATAATATGTCGTCATATTTTCTCATAATTTTTTCACTAGATTTTTACAGGTGTTTTAGCGGCATATCACCTTATATTGATCCTCATATTTTTTTCTGAAAAGGTTTTTAGAGGAGTTATTTATATGTCGTATCTCTAATATTTTTTTTCCACTTGGGTTTTAAATGGGATACCAATGACATAGTAGTTTATTTAAATCACACAGACATATGCTATTTTCTCCTTACTTCCTATAAGATTTAAAGAAGTTTTTATAGCATATCTATACATATATATTCATCAGATTTTTCCCACGAGGTTTTTTAAGGAATCTCAGCTTACAGCTACATTGATCTCAAGGAAGATTCGATAAGGGGGGAGTGTTGTGAAACAATGTCAGTACACCAACAGACGTCCTTCTACAGATGATCTCATCCCGTCCGTACGGATCCGTATGGCGTCCGTACAAGCAGTTAGGATTGGAGATTAGATTTATAATTAACTGTGTCATCAAAGGGGCATGTCTTTTGGTGAGGAGATGTAACTTCTCCTATCGGTTATGTCCTTTGGACATACCCCTTTGAACATACCCCTATATATTCTACAACATCAATGAAACACGATAGGTGTTGCCAAATCTTTGTTTATTTACATTCACATTCTTCAACAGGAGCATGGTAATGAAGGCTGCGCAAGGCAAAATTGCAAATAGACAGTGCCTTGCGAGCTTGCAACTTTGGCAAGTTAATGGGCAGATTTAGCCACTCCTTAATAATTTATTTATAGAGTTTCTTTATCAACTTGTTGGAGAATCATTTTTTTTGTCTAATTTTTTTCCCCACCGTTTTCCACTTTTGGTTGCAACTCTGTTTGCTGGCTTGTTCTCCTGTCCTCTCTTTTGGTTCAGCCCTCCAGGGCTAAACCTATTTCCAATAACATCACCCAAAATACAAAAAGACTTATTCAATGTTTAAGTAGCGTTACAGTCAAAGGGTTCAATACTCATTCAACATCCTCTCCAACAACAGGACCCTAAAGAGAATCATTTCTGCAAATGGGTTTCTAGAAGAGATAATACTCATATTTAAGTTGTGTCTCACAGACAATTCAAAATAGATCTTCCATATAGATACTCTTTTGAAAACTAATTTTAGATCTCCTACTACCTATTTTGGATTTAGATGTCTATATAGATCACCTGTTGAAGACAGTCTAACATGGATTCATTAAAGCGGCCTAGTAGCCAGGCCTACTAAGGCCCCCATCATAGTTAAACTAGGCGTCTTCACTTATCCACCCAATTTGGCCAATAAGAGATTGTCCGACCATCACCTGTTCGCTTGATCGTTTCTGTAGCTTATAAGCCGACTGATATTGTTTTGTTGTGAGAGAAAAATACTATATCATAGCTGATAAAACATGGCGGATAGGATCAACCATCCATTAGGTACGAATTCTTCAAAAAAAAGATTTATAAAGTTCCAAACGTTAATGAGTACGAGACAATTGTTAATCAGTATAACAATACACTAAATGACCATCTAATAAGTACACAAATCACACCCGAAAAATAAATAAACGAACTGAACAAATCACACCGGAAAAATAAATAAACGAACTGAACAGAGCATTTGTTCGTAAACAGAAACAAAAACTTGATTTATCGCTTGGTGGATATTTGATCATGCAATTTGTTTCCTACAATCCAAATGGCTTGTATATAGGTCCTAAAAACCGACGCAACACAGCGCATGATTTGTCTCCATGAATTTGCATGCTGTCACGAATTTGTATCATGAAAAAAAATCATGCAGACATTACTATATCAGGAAAAAAAATATCAAGTCACAGCAAACAATCATCTGCACGAATTTGCTTGTTGTCACGCCGTACCCTTTTCAGGTAAGATCTCGAGCGAGCAGAACTGAGAACATAATCTCCCAGCTGGTTCATTCCCATTATTTTCGTTACAAAAAAATAATGTACCAAATGCAATGAGTTCAAAAGGACTGAAGCCTGACGGTAAAAATCTGTATAAAATATGGTCCAATTCCATTCAATGGCATAACTAGGTAGTATCCCCCTCTCCTTATGGCTGCATCCCAGCCAACAATAGCATGCCCACCCCCAAAAAAATTCCCACCCAACAACAAATAATTCGATTATTGCAACATAACAATTGGCAAGTAAGCTAAGGTAAAATGGTACCAGACTTGTCTCTACCAAAACCAACTACCATGGTGCGAAAGCAGCTGGAACGTTATTATACGAGTCAAGCGATAATAGCATAGAGCGGTCAACCCTGTATCGGTTGGTTGGCATTCCTATATGCCAATCTTCTTCTCAAGCTTCTGGATCTGATTCAAGAATATCCAGGTCATCTGCATTCAAATTATCATTGGATGAATATGCTAGAGTTAACAGATTGAAAAATAAGGTAAAAGGTGGACTGTCCAGCAGAGTATAGACAGGTATTATTCTCTATTTACCATGACATGGGGTGCAATCCTGACACAGTACACTGGGAAACCAGTGTAGAACTTGAATGGACCACCGCTCTTGAAGGTCTTCACGGCACAGTCCAAAGACCCTGTGTACGGGTACTTGCCATTCGCATCAGGTTGCATCTTCTGAATCTGTGTCTTCACATAGTCAAAGGGCAAACTGCATGCTGAGGCAAAGAATCCAGAAATAGCACTGGCTCCTGTAATCAAATTGGACGATTGCATCAGGAAACTGACAGCAGGCCTAACATGGCTACATATAGAGATGGACGAAATTAAGCACAATGTCAGTTGCATAAACTAAGAAAATGGGCATTAGATTTCAATAACACAGCACAAAATGCACAAGGTTTCTAGGCACTAGAATCTTACCAACAACAGTAGAAATTTCTCCTGCACCAAGTTTGTCCCTAAATAGCTCGATACTCTGGTCATAGGAAGCAAGCATACCCATATTGAGTGCCATAGCTCTCACCACAGTTGGACCCGCACCCTTCCAAAGCGCAAGGACTCCCTCATCAGCAGTGATTCGGTAGAGTGCATGGAAAGCATTCTTATAGTTGCGTCGTTGTGCAGCCGGCAGGGTCGAATCAGCTTGCATTCTAATGAGTGCCAAATCAGCAGGACTACCAACAGAAGCACCAATTGCTCCAGCAGTCAGGCCAATAAAAGCTTTCTGAATTAGAGGCAACGGCTTCCCTTCATTCTTTTCAACTGCTTTGTTAGTTAGAACCCTGGAAAAATGTATCCGATATATTCGATTAAAATTAAATACTAATTATAGTTGGAAACCAAGATAAAATAACTCCAATATTCATTGCTGATTTTCGATCTGCATGCATGACTTTGATAAAAAGAAGTTAATTGGGCATGGCAACATTTGTTCACGCTATATAGTAGTTCACTCCAAGATCATATAGTTCACCTAACACCAAAAATAAAATAAAATAAAAATATAAGCCCCTTTGTGGAACAGAATTTTATATTCACATCAAACAAAACTTTTAAGTAGCATCATTCCTTTATGAAAAACTTTGTACAAAAAAAGGTGCAGATAAACGAACAACCATCAACCTCATGGGTCATGGCACTCCAAGGGTGAAGTCATTTTGAAGACAGCACAGCTCATCAAACAAAGTTGTATTTGCAACCATATATTTGATAGGGGCTAACCACTAGCTACCAATATGTAGGAGAAATCTCAATGCTACAACAGGCACCCATTCAAATGGAAACCATATGCTATAACAAGCTGATTCAGATATTTTTGTGCAAGCAAATCAAAAGGTAATGACTGGTCGATTGATCGTAAAACAACACACTATACAAACCTGAAGGATCCAAGACGAGCAGTCGTGTACGTCGCTTGCCTTAGCAAACCGGCAGACAAACCCTGCCAATGAAAAGTGTAGGAGAAATTAAGCTATATGTCAAACCAAGTTACGAATTAATTGCAAATGTCATATGAACACAATTATGCAGGCTTAATGTCATGTAATGTGGAAGCGGGTAAAATTGCCATATGCTGGATCGCATAAGGTCAAGCAAATATTGTAGTGTTGCAGTATGCAGCATCATGTGCTAGATTGGAAATATACATATTGCATTAGATAAATATCTAACAACAAAATAGGCGTTCACAAGGTCAAATACTAAAACTTAATTCATGGTTCAGTTTCTCTGGACTAAAATATGTCAATTGCAATAGCATAGGGTCAGTAACAAAGTTACAAGTATTAGAACTTTGTATAAGGAAAAGTTACAGAGCACCAAGGAAAACAAAACAAACCTTGTAGAAGGAGCGGACACCCTCATTTGCAAGCATGTTCCTCGTGACCTGACCAGCAGAGCCCTCACCCAACTGGATCCTCACCTGAAACCAAAACAATAATAGGAATTAGTACAAGATGGGCTCCACGTGCAAAGAGCCCTAGAGTATAAAGCTCCAAAAAGGCACGCCATCAAGACTTCTGACAGTGACATGTACTTAGCAAATTTTCAAGTTCCAACAGAAGTTAAAAGCCTGGTTCCCTTTACCTATGACCTTGGCAGGGGGCAGGTCACTGAAAGAATTCCAACGAGTAGATCCTCACCAACAAATTACAATGGTATTATGACAACATATTTACATTTGCTCGAGTCCACTCATACATAGAGGCAATCAAAGACTAGTTCACAAATTGAAACTATCCTCTCTTCTAAGAGGAAATCATCACAGGGCATATAAAAAACAACCAACTACTACAAATGAAAATGCATTCAATGGTTAGCTAACGACGTCCATAGATACCCAGATCTTACCAAAATAGAATCGAGCACCAGCGCACAGATGGCGACCGCACATCAATTAAAATCACAGCACAGAAACCGATCTCCATGGATCCAAGTAACTACAGCTAGCAAATTGTACCATCCATAACAAACAGATCGCGCGACCAAGAAAACGCACAGCTCCAATTTCCACCAACCCACGCATACATGATCCAGACACGGCAATTCCGACGGATTAAAGCTAACCGCACCCAAATACCTAACAACAAGCTCAGTTCCACTACGCCGACCCCAAGGCCACACTCGATTCATCAGATCCGACCAAAAAAGCGCAAACTCCGCGGGTACGCATCCAACCCACTGCTTCGCGTGGCAAGCAACCACCATTCCCGTAGATCTAAGCCCGGCAACCCCCGATCCCGCCACCCCACCCCAGCTCACACACGACACGAGCACTACGAAGGAAGCCGAGCGGAGAGGAGTGGCAGAGCGGCGCGGCGGTACGGTACCTTGACCATGTCGATAGGCTGGATGACGCAGGTGGCGAGCATCCCGGACGCCCCGCCGTTAACGAAGGGCTTGACCGTCTTCCAGACGCCGGTGGTGGCCGCCGCCGCCGCCGCCTGCTGTGGCTGCTGCTTCGCGTCCGCCATCCCCACCTCCGGATCGGGCTGCGCTCTGCTCGGCTCGGCTCGGGGGCGGAGGGGAGCGGAGCGGGGCGGGGCGGAGGCGAAGCGAACGAGGCGGCGAGAGCGAGGGAGATGGAGCAGGAGGCGGCAGCCTAGATCGCTGGGTGGCGTCGCGCTTTATTGCGCGATAGAGAAAAAGAAAAAAGAAATGGCTGTTGCAGCCAAGCAAGGTGCGCCGCGGCCTCGTGGGCGACGTCGCGTGCGGGATCGGCGTTTCGTCGCGTGGGTGCAGTGCACGGACGGTGCGGGGTCCAGCGGTGGCCGCGGGTGGGGTCGAGTGCGGGAGGCAAGACCGTAAGAGCCAGCCAATAGGTAGGTGTGGTGTACGGGTTGGTGTACGGAGCGAGAGTGCGATTAGGGAGAGCCGGAGTGGGCTCCAAGGACAGAGCCAACTTGCGGCTACGGTTGTTGTAAAAAAAAAAACTTACGGCTACCGTGGGAGTCGGAGTCGGAGTCGGAGTCGAGTGTGGGTCACGCAGGGGGCGCCGCACCGGGGGCTCACGTCCGCGCCCGTGTCCTGTACTCGCCCTTTTACGCTTCCGTCAAAACGAACTTTTGGTTAATACATTGTGCGGCTGTGCCTGTGGTTCGTTACTGGCTAAAGTGCTTTGCTTTGCGTCCTATGTTTAAGTTTAGGGTTGGTTAATCAAAGGCATATCCGTACAGCGTTGAGGAGGATTGTCCTGTTCGTTTCGCAAAAATTTGGCTTATGTCGATACTTATACTGATTTAGGGTCTGTTTGGTTGGTAACTAAAACCTGCCACACCAAAGGTTCGTCGTGCCACAGTTTTTTCAGCAGCTGTTTGGTTCACTGCGACACCTATGGCACGCCATATTTTTTAGCACCCTGCCCCGTATGTCATAGACTCATTTTCCTGCTAAACATTGCCACAAGTGTAGCTTCGATTTTGGTCGCCATACTTTTTTTGGCAGCCACAGTTTGCCGAAGGTTAGGCGTGACAAGTTTTGGTCACCAACCAAATATGCCCTTCTTCTGAGAGGAAAACAATGTTCGTTCGCTAAAAAGTACTGCGCTGGAGTAGTACTGACGAACAGGGTCTATCCTCTCTCCTATTGGGACATAGAGATATGAGTAGCGGAGGCCATTGCATAACGCCAGTTGTATACATGTGTGATAGCGCATAGGTACACCAAGAGGAGCCTTCGCCACCGACCGCAGGCGAGGCAGAGGCCAAGACACAGGTACACCAGGAGTAGCCTTCGCCACCAACCGTAGGCGAGGCGGAGGCCAAGACGCAGGAACGCTGAGGAGAGCCTTCGCCTTTGACCCAAGTAAGGCGAAGACCCAAGCAAACTCGGAGGATGTCAGGATAAGTTTCCTATCGGAGGTCACGGCACGGAGACAGAAGCTCAGGTAGCTCAGGCGGAGGCCATGCGAGCCCTATTCAAGAGAAGAGAGCTCGTTACGGCGCTGCGGCCTAGAGTCAGAGATGGGCTTCCCATAGGTCGGTGGCTAAGGCCTAAGAAGCAAAGGCGGCGCAGGAGGAGAAGACCCGGGATGCCCCTGAAGATCAATATTAAGTCTAGGGATATTCTATGAATATACCTTAGCTGTCATAGGACAAAGATGTGCAATGGAAAACTAACAAACAATGCCCCATACAAGGGGAGCCAGATCCTATGTAAATGGCAGAGGTTGGTGAATCCATTTATGAAACCCTAATTAAGTCTAGGCCCACATACCCACTCACCTTCGCTTGGAGTCTCCGCCAGGGCGAAGGCCCTATTATCCATCGTTTGTCAAAAACCCTGTTTTTCAACATTGACACCCACCGCGTGTAGGCCAAGCAAAACCCACAATGGCAAGAAAAAAAGCAGCTTCCGCTAGAACACCTCCAGAGCCTACCAGAAGGGGAAGGTCTAGGCGTAGCGCCCGTAGCACATATGCTACCGCTACTGAAGAGCCAGACATAGAAGAAGACGCTAGGGAGGATCAGCCCGTGGCGACTGAGGAGCAGTCGGTGCCAGAACCAACTCTAGAGCAAGTGCTTCAATAGCTCCAAGCCTAGTTACAGAGCACGCAGCAAGAAAGAGATAGGCTCGCAGCAACCTTCGCTGCAAACCAGAGGACAGTCCAGGCATCACTCCAAGCAGCGGAGATCAGGCAGCAGTTGGTTGTCTTGCAATTGGAGATACAAAAGCATGCAGTCCAACCAGCCTCTTTCCAACACATCTAACCAGCACCACTCAACAAATCAAAGCCAGCCCAACCTCTCGCCAGGTATGGCTGCCCAAACAACCTTCGGCGCACCCTTCACTTCACCACCAGTCCACAAACTATAGACTCAAAATCTCCACTATCCGAGGGAATCCAAAGCTCACCTTGGCCTCCCTCCTACAAACCCATTACCCTACCCAAATTCAATGGGAGATCAGACCCACGCTAATTCATCATGAGCTTCGAGGTAGCTATAGCCTCCGCGGGAGGGAACGTCATTGTTCTAGCCAAATCATTTGTTATTGCAGCCGAGGGTGACGCATTGGCATGATACTCGATGTTGAGGCCAAGTTCAGTATATTCCTGGAAGGACCTCCGCGACAAGATTATAGCCAATTTCAAAGGGTTTACCACTGAATTCCTAACCTCAATGGACCTGTTCCAGTGCAAGCAAAATCAAGGAGAGGCTCTAAGGGACTATTTTCAAAGATTTGTGCAGCTAAAAGTGAAGGCACCAAATGTCCCAGAAGACGTAACAATTGAAGCCGTAGTTAAAGGTCTCCGCATCGGAGCCTTCGCCGCTCATCTAGCTTGAGAAAAGCCAAGCACAATACAACAACTATACAATGAGTTTGAGAAATATTATAGGTCAGACAACGACCTTCGCAGAAGACTATAAGAGCAAAACCAGAACAAATAGTACTAAGGGAGCAGCAGGAATGCCCAAAGGAGCAACAGAAGCCATGGCCAGTCACAGCCTCTGCAAGCACTAGATCAACAAGTTTTCAATATAGAACAGCAAGGAAGCAGCCAGCAAGGGCAGCAAATGCTGGAGACAGCCCCAAACAAAGCACATTAAAAGTAATATGAAGGCAAGAAATATAACCAAAGGAAGAACTAGAACAAGAACCAAGAACCAAGACAGGGAAGACAATATTGTTTCTTTCATGGAGAGAACAAAGGACACATTACCAGAGATTGGTCAGATGCGAAGGAAACTCAAGAAAGCATAAAGAACAGGGAAAACCCTCAACCTCTGCCACAACAACCCGCAAGAGAAGTCAATAATACCTTCACTGCATCTCCTCAGTAGCCATACTACCCAATCTACCCAAGCCTTAACTCCAGTCAAATCCATCCATCCAACTTAGTAGCAGCATACTACCCCAACTTTTTACCCGCATGGAGGCCAAGCACCCTGTAGCAAGGGCAAGTCAGTAACCAACGAGCAGAAGCCAATCTCACCTATATAAACCTAAGGCCTCCGCACATAATATTCATAGAGACAAACCAGCTAGCTCAAGTCCACAATAGACAACTGGAAACATTACCTCTGCCACCACCCCACCACAACTAGCCACGCCCAAAATGAGCCCAATCTAGAAAACTAGCTTAATCCACATACACCATTACCCACCATTGGCATGATACTGCCAATAGACAGAGGCTCTACAATGTAGTTCCAGACAAAGAAGCAGAAGAAAGATCATCTCAAGCTTGTCAACAACATAGCAGTCTAGGGTCCAGTACGCTATACAGATTGATCGAAGACACCCATTACGTTCTCCAAACAAGACCTTCAATTGGAAAGCTATCCCCATACTGATGCCATGGTGATCAAAGCTAATATAGCAGGCTAAGAAATTAATAGGGTTCTCACAGACTCCGAAAGCTCCGCATATATCATCTTTGTTAATGCCTTTGACCAGATGAAATTAAGCAGAAGTCAGTTGCAGCCTTTGGACTCACCACTAATCGGTTTCGGAGGAAAGAAGATCGATGCATTGGGAAAATATCTCTACCAGTTTCCTTCAGACGCCAGGAAAACAAAAGAATAGAATACGTGACCTTTGACATAGTAGATCTCTACTACCCATACAATGCCATCTTTGGTAGACGGTTTGCAAACAAGTTCAATGCAGCCATCCATATGGGCTACTTGTGTAAGAAAATGCTAGCCTTGCATGGCACCATCACACTCCACGATAGTCAGAAAGAGGCAAGAAATATAGAGAGAGCCATCTACAAGTCACAACACAACATTAACTCTATCGAGTTGGCCAAGAGCAATGCACCGGAGCCTCCGAATATGCCAAGGGGAAAAACAGATCTTAAAAATCAGGAAGAAACAAAATCAGTCTTGTTGGAGAGAATGCAGTGCCAGATAGAAAAGTCACTATCGGAAGCAACCTTTCAAATGAAGAAGAAGCAGAGCTCATACACTACTAGAAAATATCCACTTCTACGATGAAAATCTTAATAACGAATCTGAAACTATCATAGAAGATCGTTTTTTATGACGAATATTTCTATTTCGTCATAGATGCAACCCTCCCTTTCTATGACAAAATTAGGCATCATCACAAAAAATGTCATAGAAGAGCGCATGGTTTCGTCACAAATCACACGCGCGACTCATCTGTGACAATCTCCTTTAAAGCTGTGACGAACAGGGCTTCGTCATTTAACTAATTACACATCTGTGACGAACAATATTCGATCTATAACGAACGGCTTCATCATAGATCTTCACATGGTACTTTCTTCATCCGACGTGTACATGTGGGACCTATAGTTACTCATCCATGATGCTTGCAATTCTTCATAAAAGTCTCCACTTGATCCTATCTCCATGCGACGTGTACCTATGGGACCCTTCTTCATTCGTTGTGTACTTGTGGGACCCCCAGTTAGTCATCTGTGATGCTTGCAATTTGTCATAAAAAGTCTCCACTCGATCGTTTCTCCGTTAGACGTGTACCTACGGGACCCTTCAGCATCCGA